GGGACCGCTGTTGCGTAATCTGCTTTGATCAAACAAGATCACACTTGTTCTTAAATTCTGTTAAACCTTACATTGAAAGTGTCACCATCCTCTTGCATTGTTTACATGTGCACGTAGAAAGTATTTTGGTACCTCAAGTCCCACATTTTGCATTTTATATTTGCTAATCTAGTGGCAAGAGTGTTCAGTGGTAATTAGGTGAAAAATGGCCCCAGGCATTCTGCTCTCCCTCAGTCAACCATCACCCCATCAAGACTTTTGAACATTTATTTTGCTCAGGGAAAATAATTTGTGTGTGTTCTGTGCTGTCAAGTCAGAACTAACTTACAACAATCTTAATAGGGTTCTGGAGGTAAGTGAGATATTTAAGGAGTGTTTTAACAGTTCCACTCCCCCAGTGAGTTCTCTTGGCCAAGTGTAAATTTGAAACCTGTTGTCCAGAGTCCTAGTCCATCACTCTATCTACTACACCACACTGGGAATACAAGATTAATTTACACCAGCATATTTAAATTTTAGTTCCAATGTGTTCAGATCTCTGCCATGATGCACTTACTCATGGTCATCAGATGGCTGTTTGCGCTGGATGGCCAAATGTCTGCATCCTACTGCAAATGCTTGAGCAGCTTGTGAAAGAGACACAGATGGAAAAAAACTTAATTCACCCCTCCCCTTCATTATGTAAATTATTTGCCTTTATAAATACTAAACAACATGGAGTCCAAGACATTGTTTGGTTTAACCAAGCTGATACTTCTTTTAGTCTGAATGCCATGTAATCCCTCCCCCATATATGCCGACTGATAGTTTATTGGAAAGTCAGACAGCAGCACTTCAGAGGGCTTCCTCAGTCATGAAACATGCTTAAAATATTCTTTACATCAGTGGTTCCTAACCTTGGGTAACCCAGTTATTCTTGGACTACAGATCACAGAAATATACTGTAAAATTCACTACTAGCTGTGCTGGCCAAGGTTTCTGGGAGTTGCAGTCCAAGAACACCTGGGTTACCCAAGATTGGGAACTAGAGATGGGCACAAATTAAGTCATGCCCTTTAATACAAAGTTCTCTGTGTGGCACCACAGCTGCCATGCTTTTCCCCCCCCACACACACCCTGACCAGCTTGGTCCATTCACAATCCATGATGCACCTGCTAGGGTCCCCCTTCTCCAGTGGTGCTCCAATCCAGACAAGAGCTTGTGATGCCCTTCTGCATCTCCTCCACAGCCAATGTCTAGGGTGTTCCTCAGGGCTGCTGGAGGAGGTAGGGAAGGACAGCCCAAAATCCTGTCCAGAGTGGAGCATCACTGGAGGAAGTGGTGAGCAATGGATTGTGAGTGGGCCAGCTGGCCGGGAGTGGGGTGGGGAGGAAGGGAATGTGCAGCACCTGCAATGCCACATGGAGAATGTCATCGGAAGGGGCACAACTAAATTCATGCCCATATCTATTGGAAACCAGTGCTTTGCACGGTGACAACAGTGCTAACTTTACTTTCTTAGATAATATTAATATCTATATCAGAGGGGATGAGTGCCATGATTCTGATTAGTTGATAGCTCAAGGGGCGCATTCCCAATGGTTTGGGATTAATGGGGGAGGAGCATTATCTAATAGGCTAATTTGTGTATTTAACTTTTTTAGTAATTTTAATGCTATAGATAGATAGATAGATAGAGAGATAGATAGATAGATAGAGAGAGAGAGAGAGAGAGAGAGAGAGAGAGAGAGAGAGAGAGAGAGCATTATATAGTAGTATTTTATATACATGTTGGGGACATGGGGCATAGGTTCTCCTAAAAACAAGATTGTTTCCCATGGCTTCTAGAGGGCGCAAGTGAATTTTTTAAAAGCAAAATCTATTCTATTCTTCTTAATAGACTGGGAGGATAGGTGTAGGAGGGTTGGGGCCTGTAAAAATGGCTTTTGGGGCTGTATGCAGCTCATGTGCCACATGGTGCACACCCCTGATGTGCATTAAATGCCACTCTCCTTTCCTTTGACAGAAACTGGCGTAATGCAACGTACATGGTATGTATGATTTGCATCTTAGACAGTGCCATAATTTTTTTTATTTGCTCAATGACAAAGAGAGGGTTCAGAGGGATGTTCCTCCTGCTAAGTATAGTAGGGCTGGGGAACATGTAATCCTAAATGGGCTGTTGGACTTCAGCCCTGTCAGCCCTTGCCAACCCAGGCAAAGATGGGGGCTGGGGGGTGTTGTGGTGCAACCTCTAACAGCCCATGTTCCCTCCCTCAGTGGTTAATGGCCATTGTAACATTCTGACCTAGAGAATTAGTACACCTGTACCAGTGTTATTTGCCCTTGATCTTGCGGTTTGAGACTCTTGGGCCTGCAGATTTCTACACTAGATGTTCATGAGATTTCACAGAATGGGATGCAAAAATTGACTGAAAAGAGGGATTTGTTTTACAGCACTCTACCACAGTGAGCGAATTCACCTAAAGTATTTCCTTGCCACTGTTGCCTCCCCCTTACCCAGTTTCACATTACTTGCACAAGGAGCTTGTTCCCCAACTTCTTGTAACACCAGTATTACCATTTCACATCTGTTGTTCTTTAATATCCAAATAGTCCAAACAGTTGTATATCCTGTGAGTCATTATAATGGAAGTTATTGCATGTTACCTTACTAAACCTGACCTTAGTTGTTTGCTTTATATAACTACACAGCAGTGGCTGATGGCTGGACTTACAATGTGGTTTCTCTTCCTGTTGCTCTCTCTCTTTGGCATGCACACGCATACCATGTAGTTACACATTGTGGGAGAGACCGTGAACCCTTTCAGTTCTTAGCGTCACATAATGTGATATAACATTGTTGTCTTAGGTAGTGAGGTGGATAAGCTGCCCTTCTATTCATAGTGAGGAAATCTGCTTCATGTACATCAGTCAGTTTGAATCCATACTGAAGATCACATAACCCTGTATTAAGCTGGCTCCCTCTGAAGTAGCTTTGTTTATATCATATTTCCACCAAGAGGTAAGGAGAACCTCAGTAGACATTAGGCACAGATGTGTGCTGAAATATGTGCTCATAACCATGCAGTGTAACCTGAGCCAGTGTAGACTTAAGGGATAGTATGGACAAGCTAACTCAAAATATTTTGCTGCCTGAGACAGAGAATCAAAAGGCACCCTTCCCCCTTACACACACTAGCCAACTTTGCATCAAATCCAGCATCTTCCACTTTCTGTGGGTACAGCACCCTAACTGAATGGGTGCAGGCTCTTTGTAGGCTAGTACACAACTGTTAGGATTTTAGTTTTGATGTATTGAACCAATGAATTCTGTTTTCAGGATACAGCTAGTGGTGCTGAAGCCAAGTTTCTTTATGGGAAGAAGCAATTTTTTACTCTTCAAGGAGAGTGTCCATTTTATGTGTCCTTAATTTGGGGCAGCATGCAATTGCTTTGAGGTTTGAATCTCTTGTAAAAAAAATGACACAAGGTCGCTTTAGTGAGGGCATTCGTTGCCTGAGGTGGTGAGGAACAGGGGGCAGCAGATTTATCGCTTGTCCCCCACCCCAATCCGACAGGGCCCCAGCTGCTCCAAAATGTTGCTGCTGCGTACCTCCTTAAAGCTGGCATCGGGATCCATAGCTATCACTTTCTCTGCCTCTACTTCCTAGAGACCACTACTGTTGATATGTGCTTTGCTTGCTTACCTGTGCATGCACTGTACAAAAAACAGGGATACAAATGCGATGTTTCTCCTCAGATCAGGCCATGGTGGACGAACCGGCACCCCTGCATCTTCTGTTCAGCAGTGGCTGTGGGGCAGGGTATGCATTGTCCTGGTTATAGTTCCTTGGTTCTGAGAGTCTCTCAGAGCAGGGATTGATGTAAGAATCTGTCAGCTTGGTACAGCATATGGATTCCTCCTCTTCCTCCTTCTCCCCTCCTCCTATAGTGTTAGGGACAGAAAACAGGTGCCAGTTGTGGCCAGGGCACAACTACTGCTGTAACTCCTCTTTTCCCTTCCTGTGCTCACAGTAAGATTGGGACACACCTGCCAAAATGCCGCCTCATCATTCATCCTACATTAAAGTGGAGTTTTGCCTTTCTTGCTGCCATCACTGTTGACTCCCCCTATGGCAGGAGTGTGGTGGAAAACTTCCTCCCCTGATAGGGCTCTGTGTGCAACACATAGTCTCTCATGGATGGTATTGAAGCAGTGCCTTGGTGGAGAGCTTGAGCTGCCCCTTGTAATTGTGTTCAAAGAAGTCAGGAGTATTTCACGTGCCATAGCAGGGGTGAGTATGATGCGTACATCATACAAAAAGACCACGTACAGCCCCCAAATGTATTTTTGCAGCTTGGGGATCCTCCCAATCACTTTGCCTCCTAAGAATTTTTATAGGAAATTTTAACTATTGGAAACCTACAGGAGTAGCAATTGTCCTTCAAAACAATGTCCAGCCCCTCCATCTCTTCTATCCTCTCTCCACATGGGTTTCAGGAAACCAGAAGGGTACTTTCTTCAGAGGGGTGATGTGTTCACCCAGAGTGGAATTGATCCCAGGATGCCTGGGGCTTATCCATTCTGTGCTAGAGTAACACTGAGTCCAGCGTGTGTTCTCACAGACTACCTAGGAGAAGTAGTCTTTTTCACCATAAGCCAGTTTTATAAAAGTACCGTATTTTTCGCACCATAAGACACACTTTTTCCCCACAAAACAGGGGGGTGGAAAGTCTGTGCGTCTTATGGAGCGAAGAAAACAGATTATATTTTCCTGTTTTCTTCTCCTAAAAAATTGGTGCGTCTTATGGAAAGGTGTGTCTTATGGAGCGAAAAATACGGTAATTTGTCAACAGTAATCTGCCACTTTACAATGGAGGTGGGGAAAAAGAAAGCCACAAGTCACTCAGAGATTGGCGTTGAATGCTCTCCAAGATTACCTCCCATGATTTGTGTTTTAGTCTGGGCCATTATTTATGGGCTCAAATAAACTTTTCTCACCACCATTTCCTTCAGGTAATATCATCCAAGTGACCAAAGCCTGCATTGAAACAGCCACAGACTCTTCCCTTGACATTTGCCTCTCAGTCCAGAGTTGAAGCATGTAAGCAAGACAGTGCAGTTACACCGCTCCTGATGAATGTAAAATGTAAGTACAATGTTGGTTTCTTGCAGTCTGTTACAAAACATTTTGAGCTTTATTAGCATCAAATTACATTTGTTATTTTCAGACACGTGCTTTTCTGATGAGTAGGATGTCGCTACAATAGCATTGTGGAATTAGTTAATGAAATTAGTTTCATTATCATGGTGGAATTAGTTATTTGGATTAGTTAATGAGAACAGGTGAACATATAACCAAAGCCTGGAAGAGTATAGGTAAGTAAATAAGTAATTAAGTTGATGAGTAAGTTACTTTTAAAACAATACCTTCCCTAACCCCCATGCTACATGGCCACTGACTGGGGAACTTGTAACATAATAATAATAATTTTGCAAACTATAAATGTAACCATGGCATTTTCCTCACACAGGGCTGGGCAACTGGCACAGGTGTGTGTGGGGGGCCACACTAGTCCATCCTGGAAACTTAGGGGTATCAATTCTTCATTTCCCAGAATAGTTTCATTTTAAAAAATAGCTGTAATTGATTTGAGGAGATAATCAATATTGACAGTAATTTTACCTCTGCCTAACTTGGGACTGAAGCAGCAAGAATTCAATTTATTTTATTAGGCTCACCTACTTGAGTAAGAGTTTGTTTAAGCATTTTCTTCAGTTTTTATACTTTAAAAAAACTCAGACTGACAAATCATAGAACTCATTGAAAAGTGAAGCTGGAAGGGGCCTACAAGGCCATCATGTCCAACCCCCTGCTCAACGCAACAATCAAAGCATATCTGCTAGTTGGTTATCCAATTTTTTCTTGAATGCCTCCAGTGTTGGAGCATTCACCAACTCCCAGGGTAACTGGTTCCACTGTCGTACTGCTCTAACAGTTAGGAAGATTTTCCTGATATTCAACTGAAATCTGGCTTCCTTTAACTTGAGCCCATTGTTGCGTGCCCTGCACGCATAATTGAGAACAGATCTTGTCCCTCCTCTGTATGACAGCCTTTCAAATATTTGAAAAGTGCTATCATATTATCCCCCAGCCACCTTTTCTCAAGGCTAAACATCCCCAGTTCTTTCCCCCTTTCCTCGTAAGGTTTGGTTTCCAGCCCCCTGATCATCTTTGTCACCCTCCTCTGAACTTGGTCCAATTTGTTAGCATCCTTCTTAAAGTGTGGCATCCAGAACTGGACACAATACGCAAGGTGAGGCCTAACCAGTGTTGAATAGAGGTAACAGGAGTTCTGAATTTAAAAAAACCCAGCACTATAAAAAATGAAGGAGCCATTTTGCAAGCAGAAATATGCGCCACTGAATATTAACAGCTGATAAAGCACAGAAAAAAGGATTCCCAAGGAGTTCTGAACGGCTAATTTTTAAAATTGTGTATCCTAGAATCCCTCACCCATGGTGGCAGCAGTGAAATTCTGGGAGTTGTAAAAAAATCTTTTTTCAAGAACTATATTCCTGGTTGCCACTGTAGCATCAAATGATCTGAAACAATTGAAATAACATGACTAGCCTTTGGTATTATGTACCTTGACTTCACAAGGAGAAGTTATTGTTTGTTTTGTTTCTGTCAGCAAAATATCTGAGACTAGTTCTGCATGTTTGCTTATCCATCTGACTACTTCTAAAAGCTCATATGCAATAATGCTGGAACAGCCAGAGAGTGTGGAGAGGAGCATTTAGGATCCTCTGGATGGTGGTGATAGGAGTAACAGAGCAACAATAAGGGTGATGACACAGCTCAAAGGTTGAGAGAGGAGAAAAGCCATTGCCAGAAGGCCACCTGCTGCTCTGTTCCATTCTGGTGACCATCTACTTCTAAAAGATTTGTCTGAAAATAATACCGGCTACCTAAGAAAGATACCTAAGGGATGCAGATGAGAGCAAGGAGGACCTCCTGGGGGGTGGCACCATGCTGTAGAGATGTCACATTCACCCTGTTGCCTGAGGAAAATGTGTCACTTTGAGAGCTCCGAAGGCAAAAAGGAAGGGAGAAAGGGTGGGAAATTCGAATTTCCAGCCCTTTCTCCCTGTATTTTCCCCTTTGGAGCTCTCAAAGGGCTTCCTCCAATGTCGAGGGGGGGAAAAGGCCCTTTGAGACCTCCGAAGGCGATGAATGGCTCCATTCACAAAAAATGGCATTCACTTGTGAATGAGGCCTCGACCTCGTTCGTAGGTCGAACCTCTGTTCACGATGCCAATTTTTGCGAATGGAGCCGTTCGTAAATCGAAAAGTTCGTATGTAGGGATGATTGTAAGTCTAGGGTTGACTGTACAATCTTTCCCTTCTGAACATTTCAAATGTCATGCAGGAAATTCACTTTCATTACTCACCGTCAGTGCACAATTCACAAGACTTTTCTAATGGATTCTTTGCTTTATAAGATTGTGCCTTTTCTGATATTCGGAGTACAGTATATGGGGCAGTTGCGACAGATAGGAAGCTTCCCAAAGTAGTGTAACAATTGCTGTAAGGGTTTCCCTCTAACATAGGGCTGTGTTGCGAGAAAAGTCTCAGGCAGCTGATTAGTGTGTACTTTGCCACTTCTTTGGTCAGCTGTACATTTAGGGCAAAGTATTTCTCCGATTAGACTTTCTTTAAAAGTGACTGGAGACTTACAATGCTTTATAATATTTGAGTTTATTTGTTGGGTCCATGCAATGGCATCGTGTGGGCAGAGTCACAGGGACGATTGCCCTGGGAGCAAACTCTTAAGGTAAAGGTTCCCCTTGACATTTAGTCCAGCCGTGTCCAACTCTAGGGGGCGGTGCTCATCCCCATTTCCAAGCCATAGAGCCAGCGTTTGTCCACATGGCCAGTGCGACTAGACACGGAACGCCATTACCTTCCCACCATGGTGGTACCTATTTATCTACTCACATTTTTACATGCTTTCGAATGGCTAGGTTGGCAGGAGCTGGGACAGGCAATGGGAGCTCACTCCGTCATGTGGATTCGATCTTACAACTGCTGGTCTTCCAACCTTGCAGCATAGAGGCTTCTGTGGTTTAACCTGCAGCAGCACCACGTCCCTCGCAGCACCACCACATCCCTAAAAACTCTTAGGGGCACAAAATTGCAGGCGTGCCACAGAGTTGTCGGGCAAGTTGGAGTGCACAGTGGGTGAAAAAAAATGTGAGAGCCTTGCCTTGCCTCCCCTCCCCTCGCCTCTTCTGGCTGCAGCTGGCTTGCTCACTTCTTTCCCCCCTCTGGGCTGGCGGGCATGTTGGGTGTTGGTGAGGGCTGAGTGGACCTGCCTCCTTGGAGAGGGTGGCCCAGAAAGTGAATGGCAGCCTGGTATAACAAAGTGGGTGGGCAGCACTCATAGAGGGGGTGATGTGGGGAGGGCGCTCCACTGGCATCAAACCCTCTCCCCTGCTGCTTCCCAAGGTGACCTTGAGGGGGCATAATACTTGCCCTGTCTGAGGTGCTGGCAACCCATGCTATGCCACTGGGCCCATGTAGAAGCACAGCTTAAATACTCTTAACAGGCAGCTCAAACCACTGCCCATATCAGACATTCAGAGAGATTCAGCCAACACTCTGAAAAGTTGAAGCTTGCAGAATCCAAATTAGACCAGAACTAAATGAGATGTCAGTTTTGCATATAGAAGGTGATAAAAACATTTTCTCTCCACAGACACAATACTCCATAGCTGCCTGAGAAATATCATGCTAGAGTAAACAACTGAATTTAACCTTTCAAAGGAGTCTCTCTTTTAACAACAGGCTCACTATGATGCCTATTTTGGTCCCCTATTTTGTCTCACATAATCTGCTAATTTTAATTAGGAAGTCTCTTAATACATCTCTTTATTTAATCTTATCATCTTTTGTATTATACTTAAAACATTATTTTTAGTTTTATAACAAAAAAAATTACACTCAGTTATTTAGGGAATGTATATTTACAGTGAACCATGGGAATATGATAAATAGATGCACATCTGTCACTCCTCAAAATATGCAACTCGGTGTTTTTAAAAGCAGTGTGAATGAAATTATGATCATTAGAAAAGTTGAAAATAAAAGAATGAATTGATCCATGACGTTTCTGAATAGCATAGGTGGTATTATCTAATAACACTCAAAGTAGTTTTTCTCCAAACAGATTTTTTTTTCCTATCAGACTAACACTGTCTTTTTTTTTCTATGTGCATATATATGCTCTGCAAAGGGTGCTATGGACAGAAATCTATTTTAGCTATTTTAGGAGGGGGATTTATCACATTTTGTATGCATATACTTAAGTAGAGCTTGTGCCAAGGCAGAGATGGATAACATTGCTTTTTTAGTGGGAGGCCGCAGCTCCCAAAATGCCTGTGTAATTCTGGGAGTTGTGGTTTTAAAAAAATCAACATCTGTTATCTCTCTGCTGGGCTTCCTCAGCTGGGTGCCTACCAGATGTATATTGACTACCACTCCTTTCACCCTCAATCACCACCTGTTGGTACAGCTGGAGGGCACCAGGTAAGGGAAGGCTGGCCTATGCTTTCCAGTTCCTAAAATTATGGGTGCCTTTGTATTTATGGATTCCCTTCCCCCCTTCCTTTCCTTTTAACATGTAGATTTATGAGGAATCAAAGATGAATTTGGAGCAGGAGAGGCCTTTTGTCTGCAGTGCCCCAGGCTGCTCACAGGTGAGTTGAATCAGGAGAAATACAAAGCCAGTCAAGCTGTAGCATAATATCTCCCAGTTTATGAGCATGTATCTAATACAACCTTATGATTTTATTATAGGATTCTTTAAAAGCTGCCCCCCCCAGCATGAAGTCACTGTTTCCTACTACTTAACACAAATCTGTTGCTGTTCAATGTCATAGGATGTGACTTCCAGCCCCTTTCCACTCAAGTCCTCTGGATCAAGTTAAAACCCCAGGGCAGATTTTAGAAGCATTTTAGAACAGCGAAGGAGAACCAGTCAGTTTGGGATCAAGAATATTTTAAGTGTTACGAGCCTACGCTCAATTATTAGTCCCAACCAGAGTAGACCCAGTGTGGTGCAGTGGATAGAGTAATGAACCAAGTCTCGGGAGACCTTGATTTGAATCTCCACTTTGCTATGGAAACTCACAGAAGGGTGGCACTGGTAAAATATGTTTGGATAGTAAATTTCAGGAAAGACCATTTCCTTAGACCCTTGGAGAGCTACTACCAGGCTAGATGAACAAAGAGTTTGACTTTATATAGGGCAACTTTCTCATGTTCCAGCATCTGGAGGTTAACTTTTCATCTGAGAGTTGGTTCATCCATTTTTTTGTAACTATAGTAGACACACGGACAGATAGACATTCTACAATCTTATAATGTCATCTTAGGTTTTAAATAGATTCAGTCCAATTGGGCATCCCAGGATTTGGTGTGCTGAGAAACTAGGTTGGCTTGCTCCCTCTTGTCGTTCAATTTCAAAGACCTTCCCTTTCAGACTGGCTTTTAAACAATACGTAGAAGTCTTGGAAATGGGCATGAACTGCTGGTTCAGTGTTTTGGACTGGTTCATTTACCACCGCACCAGGTGTTCAGCAGTTTGGCGTCCCACCCCCTCTGGTGTGCACCTGGCTTCCCTGACCCTGCCTCCTCTGGGTGCTGCTTCTGAGTGTGCACCTGCCAAAGGAGGAGGGGCATCAAACCACCAAATACCAGTTGTGGTGCCAAACTAACTGGGATGAACCAATGAATCAGTGGTCCATGCCCACCTCTACTCAGGAATGCTGTATTTAATTGAATTTAGAGATTTTGAAATGTTTTAAACAATGATTTTGAAATTATTTTTATTTCCGATTTTCATATTGACAAATGTTTATTTGTTTTTAGCATAGTTTTTTTAAAAAGAGTGATTACTGACATCCTCAGACATAGTCCCCAATCTTTATTTTCTTCCATGTTTGCCAACAGCGTTTTCCGACAGAAGACCATCTGATGATTCACAGACACAAACATGAAATGACTTTGAAGTTTCCTTCGCTGAAAACAGACAACATGCTATCAGGTAAGACAACAGAGGTAAAATAATAATAATAAATAAACTCAGCTCGAATTTTGTCACAGAGAACCCGGACTTGCGACAGCTCGTTGTACCATTCTGCTGCTTTTACAGCCATTCAATGTTAAGCAGTTCCACCTGCACCCCTCAGAATCTATAATTTGCTTTTATGACCACTATGACCAGACCTTTAAATTGGTGTGTTGAATCACCAACCATGACATCAAGAGAGCAGAGGGAGGGAGAATGGAGAAGACATTAAAGGTTAGAGAGCTCCTAACAACCAAGCAGAAGAACAAAGGTGGAAATGGGTAGTACACAGCTCTAAGTTTGCAAGACCCGAGCAGGAAGGACTGTTGAGGGCAGGACATTTTGGAGGTCTCTCACTCATAATTGGAGGCAGTTTGATGGCATGTAGCAACAAAATTTAGGTGCACTCACTTGGTCAGCCACTCATTTATACGTGTTTGAGAAAACTTCAGAAAAGTGGTAACACTACTCTTCCCATTATACCCCATTCATATTTTTAATGCGCGTCTGGGGAAACTGGTCCTAAAGTTAAGAGTAGCTGGCCAGATAGCTCAGTGAGTTAAGTATCTGACGGTGGAGCCAGAAGTTGGGAGTTCAGTTCCCCAATGTACCTCCAAGGAAAAGAGTCAACCTGTGTGGCCTTGGGTAAGCTGCACAATCTCAGGGCACACTCACCCCCGAACAAGTGAATGGTAACCCACTTCTGAGTATTTTCTACCTGGAAAACCCTGAAAAAGGTTTCCGTGTCAGAATTGTCCTGATGGCACAGTTATTATAATTATTAAAGTTAAGTGAAATTAACAGGAGCAAAAGTATTGGGCCCATCTCTGTACAGTTTGATTATATCATGGTCAGTTATGTGTAGTTTATTGCCAATGCTTGTTTAACAAAGCAGAGGTGTCAAGAGTTGCTTTTCTGGACTACAAGTTGCAGAATATCCCAGCCAGCGTGGACATTTCCAGGTGACTTACTTGTTGTTGCCTTGAGAAATGCACTGTGGATTTTTGCATTTTATAATACAAAAAGAATGGGACTCATATTTACCTCATAAACAGTAACCACTGGCAACACTTTTCCCCCAGAGATTTTCTTCTAGATATTGGCCCCACCTCACTATCTTTGAGCGAGTTTTCACCCATCCCCTGAATGTGGTTAACAGTGACTTGGCCAAATGCTCAGCCCAGCTCTAGTGATATTTTAATGCTCAAGATGAAAGATGAATCCAGTAAATAATCAAGCAGAAACCCATAGGCTTCACTTCTGTCTGTATATACATACAAAAAAAGTTTGTTTTGGAGACAGACATGCAAGATGTCATGAGCTATAATGGCTCACATTCATCACCAGAGGCTGTTTGGGAGGAATGTGTATGTTACTGTGCTGGTGATGCTGCCTCTTTAAGTTGTTCTCCTAGGTTCTCAACTGAGAAACAAACACTGTACCTTGAAGAGAAGGTCCTGTTGTTGTTTCTCTTTTACCTCTTGCCATAAAGTTGTGGGCAATTCTTTTGTGTCTCTGTTTGCAACAAATGAGGAACTATTTGGGGTATTCACCCCATATAGTTAAGAATGGCAATGTGGGGGGCAGGGAATGGAGCAGCACTCAGCGCTGTTGCCTTCCTTGTGGATTTTCCATCACCACCTTCTGAGTGGGATATTCCATGAATATCTGTCAGAAGCGAAACTGTTGTACACATATAAACTTTACCTCATAATGCAAAGTATGTGGGTTTCACCTATCCAAGTGCAAGGGATTCCCTTCACAGATTCTTCTTCAATGTGTGAAGATTGGGACCAACTGAGATACAATTGTAGTAGAAAGCTAGTGGACAGAGTCCTGTTGTTCCTCACATCATTCTTAATCATATCAGTGAATTTCTGAATAGCAACCAGGTAATAAGACATTTAGGTTTGTAGGTTCCAAAGCTTCTTCTACTATTAGCTTCTGCTTGTATTCAGCTATGGCTACTGTGTCTTTCAGTCAAATCCTCAGCCAAGGGTGTGTGGTCAGATCACTTGCAATGTTAAACTATGGCTTCCAGGTAGACTAATAGTGCCAAAGATGGTTTGTCGTCCATGGTCCCTGCTCTGCTGAAATAATTTAAGAAGAATTATGAATGTTCTCTTCTAAATCAGAAATGGCCATGGGTGTTCTCTGAGGAACTGGATATATTCTAACCTCTCAAAAGGACATCTGAGAACATTTTGCCTAGTTCCGTAGACACTTGTAAGGTGGTGGGAAGCTTCACTAGTCAAAGGGAAAGCTTGGAACAGAATATCCTTAAAATATTCTGAATGACTGTTGATACTGTAGACAGTATGTCATCTTTGAGGCATGTCACTGGCTTTCAAAAAAATCATCAACACCCAGAGAGTAATGTAGCAGAGTTTTGGAAATAGTCTGCAGAAGGTTAAATATTTTTTACATACTCTAAAAAATTTCTGTAGGGGTGTGTGCGGTCTCCAGAACCTACTCCATATCCATATAAGGGTGCACAGATTGGAGTGTGACCCACCCTGTGCCCTGTTGGTGACATTCTGACCTCATCCTTCTCTAGGTCCATAATGGTGTTTATGTAGTTCTGAATCCCAGTGAAAAACTCTGTTCTGGTGCTTGAGGAAATGCAAAAACCAAAAAAACAAAAAACAAAAAAACTATGCCTTGGGTTAGGAGAGAAATTATACTACACTATCAGTTTTGGGGACATGGTAGATCTTAAATTTTTAAAAAGAGACACGTAGGAGGATTTTACGTCTGTTCACAGGGACCATTCTGATAAAGATGCAAAGGCCAGCAGTTAGGGGTTAGTAATTTGTATTACCATACCATCCAGCAAGAAGAAGAAAGGTCTGGAGGGAAGGGAGAGAAAGAGACCTTAGCTCACTAATTGTGACCTCAGCATTCAAAACCCATATAAGAACAATGCAGGCATTCATCCATAGTAACGTACATACTCTGTCCTAACAGGGTACAGTTAGGGAACTGCGCTAGATAAGAAAGAGAAAATATAGAAAATTCTAGAATGCAAATCCAAGCCAGTAATGATGACCTAGGTCTTTCACTTTGTTTTGTAGCTATGTGAAAGAGCTGGGTGAGTGTCTGCAAAGAGATATACAGTGACCTGTCAACCTCAACCAGACCCTTCCCCACAATTTTCGTGGTTAGAATGCCCAAGAGAGGTCTTGGGTTTTTATAGGGAGACGATTCAGCTGTCACTCTCCTTTTTTGGTGCCAGCTGAATCTTTTGTACATTGTGGATTACTTTGAATCTCCTTTCCAGACTGAACACAAAGCAGCAGTGAAGGAGCTGCTCTGATCCATGGGTGACATCCATGGGTGACTAAAGCTGATTGCCCTTACCTGTTGTAGCTCCCAAATCTCACAAATGGCAGCATTAGATCTGGTCTGTTTTCTAGCCTGTGTCATTGTAGGCTTGCTTATTTACAACCCAGTACTGTATATACTTTTACACCCTTTAGTGCCGTCTTCCCTTGCTTCTTCCTCTTGTTTTGTTTGAAGCAGCTTCCTCCCTTCACCTAGACAGCACAGTTGTAAAAAGACTGGTTTACATCGGACAAAAGTAAAGGTGAATTACATATTCTACATCTGCCTTCTGGGAAGTGATTCAGATTGTTCATTACTTTAGACAATCAGTGTGAAGGAAATGCTGTCAGTGTATTGCCAGATTGCTACAGGTGACCACACCCCATCAGAAGGTGGAAATGCAATTGTGCAAACTATCGGTGTTTAATGCATTTATCCCATAGGGCACCTGTTCTATGCAGTGCTTAATGAGGTACTTTCAAATGACTGAGAAACACAGCTTTGGTTGAATATGAGCTGTCCATTGGATGCAAAAGAAAATTCTAGAGACCTGTCAATCTTTTATTGCTGATAACAGCGGCTTCTGTCCTGAGTGTGCTACTCTGATGAGACACTCTATATATCGGCCAAAATCAAGTATCTCCAACACAAGGCAAGCAGCGTTTTTCACGGTTTTAAAATATTATAAAGCAAATTTTGCATGATTTTTAAATTTTGGCCATTTCAGAAGACAATTTTTGGATGTCATCAAATTTCAAATATGTAGCATTTGTCACTGCTCAGCTAGTTTCTGCAAAGTGTAAGTATTGATGTTTTGAAGACAATAACGTGACATTTCATGTTGCTACATTTAATATGTTTATATCTTGTTTTTACTCTAAGGCCTTTACATCCAGGATAATTGGAACTGCTGAATGGAAACAAAATTAGGAGAATTTTCTTCTGCCAAAGATATTTGAATTCGGAGAATTTGCTTGAGGGTAGTTTTTCAAAACTGATTCCAAGTTCATCGCTAATCTTGATGATTAGTCATGAAACAAAACATTGTGAGTGATCAGTAAACTCAGCCTGCAGGATTGGATAAAGGCCAAACTGGAACTCCTCAGGTCTTGGATGTGAACAGCATTATCCACTCAGAGAGAGATCCGGAAATTCTGTTCACCATTTCCCACAGCAGCTGGGTCCTCAATCACTCTCAGATTTAAAATATGATGGCAACAGGTGGTGGTATGAAACTTACCTAACACCTGACATTCTGTCTCTGCATTCTTAGAATGTAGGCTGCTATCCTAAACCCAATCACAGAGATGAAGTACCATTAAGCTCTATAGGGCCTGCCTCCAAATAAATCTAAATTGTTTAGACTTGTGCTGCACTTATTTAGATTGTATGTTGCAAAAGTGAGTTCCAAGCAAAGAATATGCTCTATAGTGCTAACTCTGCTGCCTCAGCAAGTAAATTTAGGGGGGAAACTTAGTGGTACCAGCTCAATCTAGTTGAAGAGCACATTTGCTACCCTATGGTTTAGGTTGCATGATTCCTTCCCTCCACCTTCACATTTTAATAGTTTCTTTTTCTTCTGACAGAGAGATGCTGAAGTTGTTTCATCAGCCACCTAGCCCCTCAGGAAATCTAAATTCCTTAAAGTTAGA